CCCCTCCACTGTTTACACCCCCGGTCATATTTTCATAGTGCTTAGGCGAAGCCCTGTGGAGATAACTTCACCATCACCGTCACCATGCCCTTGTGCTGACAGAAATCATCTACTACCTTGATGTCTTGCTAGATCAAGAAGGAGAGGGACGTCACCGAGCAGAACGTGTGCAGAATGTAGAGGTGTCGTGCGTTTGGTACTTGATCGGTTGAAGCGCGAAGAAGTTCGACTACATCAACCACGTTGTGAAACGCTTTCGCTTACGATCTACGAGGGTACGCAGACACACTCTCCTCCCGTTGCTATGCATCTCCATGGATAGATCATTGCGTGTGCGTAGAATTTTTTTGTTTTCCATGCAACGATTCCCAACACTAAGAATATCTCTCCATCGTCAGAGGACCAAATCCCAGTCTTGAGCTATCTATTCCCTTGTCATACATTTCTCATGCACCTGAAAGTTTTTTTATGATCACCCTATTACGGGTAATGTTTAATGAACCCCAAAGCACACCATCAGGTATGAAGGTACTTGATACTGGCATGGCCTAAGAAATTATGCATACGTTAACATATGTGTGACAATATTAATAACTAACAACGATATGATCTTGTAGTATATCAGTCGGTTGTGTCTGTTCAACATAATTGTTCTTCCAACAATGTCTTCACATTGTCACTGACATCCTTGTTACTATAACTATGCTCATGATTAGGAAAACATGATCATCATGTAACACATGAGTTAGTCTTAGAGGCGAGACTAGGAATCTAATTGGTGTTTATTATTCCACACATGCGCATGGGTTTTTCTCTAAATGTCGTTTACATTGCAGACTTGAGAACCATTGCAATTACTACATAGAAAAATAAACATCAATTACAAACATTAAAATAAATAATAAAATTTATTATTGCCTCTAGGACATATTTCAATAGCCTAGTCTTTTACAGGTGTCAGGAGTGTTGTTCGGTCGCTCACCTCACGCATAATCAAGCAAAAGAATGAAATGTTTTTCACTTGCCAGTGGTAAAGGTGGGCAAATAACTCCCAACTTCTAAGGGGCATAGGAAAATGGTTGGTTGAAGAAAAGCAAGAAAAATTGGGGTATGTCGTCAGCGAAATTTGCATGAGAAGCTGCAAAATCTTAAGAAGTTGGTTTGCTGGAGACTCCCTTTGGTTCAACTTATATATTTTAGACCGCTCAACTTATAGCTTTTAGACCGAGAAGTTGGTAGTTGAAGCTGAACCAAACACATCCAAAAACTCAATAAGCTAACTTTTATGAGCATTACTATTTTGTTTTTAGTGTTGAACCTCTTAAGGTTGAAGAAGCACTCAAGGATATGGATTGGATCAATGCTATGCACAAGGAGCTCCATAACTTTGAAATTAACAAAGTATGCACATTATTTGAGAAGCCCAATGATACTTAAAGGATCATAGGAACAAGATGGGTCTTTCTGAGCAAGCAAATGAGAATGATCTAGTCGTCCACAACAAAGCACGATTACTAGACCAAGGGGGTATACTCAAGTGAAAGGTATTGACAATGGTGAAACATATGCTCTGGTTGCTAGACTTGAGGCCGTTCGCATATTACTTACATTTTCTGGAAAGGAGGTCAAAGCCCCTGTCCTCTGCATCAATGTCAAGCACACAACCATTCTTAACAATTATTAAACAAAGGCAACGACAAACAAATCATAACGATATGAAATTCACACTTACGACTAAGTCGACTTCTCCTACACCAACACCTACAAGAAGATACAAATGTCCTTGTGCCATCATCGCCGCGTCCGACTAGAGATGCTATGGACAAGGATTTTTATCCTGGTGGCTGAGACCAGTCAAATCAAGACCGTCACAACAACAACTAGACAACACATTCAATAAGGTAATGACACAAAGTCCTTTGCTACCGAGCCCAACCAATAAAGGCTAGAACAAGAGTTTCCACCCCAAGACATGAAAACGTGTTCCAATCGGCATCTTGATGACAAATCCTTTGATAGTCACCTTCGGCAGTACTCTAGGCTAGGACCAAAATGCACTAGTAGATTGGTGCGACAACTTCAAGACCACTGCCATGGCCGTCACTGGACGCCCATGTCTCAGTGCAGAAGTGGTCGTCGCCATTCCAAACTAGTGTGAGGTACACTACATCACCCACTGTACCGTCGAATCAGTTGCCCCAATACTGGAAGACAACATGGAACTACCAATGCACCCCTTGATCACCAGCATCAGACTCTGCCACTGGTGCCTCGAACCTCCTGGTGTGATGGTCACTGCCCTCGCACTGGATGAAAATACCCTTTGTGACGGCAGTGTGCACCACATGGGACCATCGTTGCCATGCCTAAAAACAAGTGGATGAACTTGTAGATGCGCCACAATGCCTCTTGAGCTCCTTGTTGCGGTCATCGAGGGTCGCCACCCCTGTCACGATGGCAAGTGGAGGCAGCCATCGCCACGACTACCTGCATGGTCACCATCAATGTTGTTGTGCTCGTTGCCACCTCTGTGGACACCGACACCTCTTTTGTCACACACTGGGACAACGGGTCTGTTGTACCAAGATATGGTACCGAAGCGGCATCGACAAGATATGCCCCGTCCCCGGACGCCTCATGGGCAGCGATGTTGACACCTCTTGACTACTCCATGGCTATCGAGCCCGAGGCCGACCTATCCTTCACCTCCGCTTCATCATTATTGGTAACACTACTGGAGTCGCGCCCCACGCTGGCTTTCCAACGAGGAGTACTCCTTTCATGAACGGCTCGATGACACGTCGGAGATCCCATTCTCATAGTCCGCCTCCTCTAGCATGTTTCTACTCACCCGCAAGCTCCAGACACCAGTAGCGAAGGAAGAGAAGTGGAGTGAGACTGGCGACACTAGCACAATAGACACATTATGCACCTCATGACCTCACCACTTGGCCGATCCTAGCTTCGCACACGCTTTGCACTCCCCACCAAGGTGATCTCCAACCTGCCAGACCACAACGCTTCACAACAACAAGCAACAGTGAGGAGAGGGGAGATGGTTGCGAGTGTGGTGCGGAGGAGGGAGAGACCAACACATTGACCGACACCATCTCCGATGCCGTCAAGAGGAATGGTGAATCACCCTTCCATGAATAGTGAAATGAGTGGTTTGTCTTTTTCCCATATGCTAATCATCACAATATCGCACTTTGCCAAATCGATTTTAAAAGTGCATTCTTAAATGACAAGATTGAGAATGAAGTTTTTGTTAAACAATCTCTCAGAATTATCCATCATAAAAAACTAATAATGTCTATAAACCTCAGAAAGCTCTATATGGTCTTAAGCAACTTCTTAGAGCTTAAAATGATCAACAAAGTTTCTTTTGAAGCAGGATAAGGCTTAACCTAGTGGTGGAAAAGGACTGAAGCCTTCCCACCATCTAGACTCAAGGCATGGTATTTGCAATTTAGATTTGTTGCACCAGTTATACTGTACGAGATCACTTACAACCATTTTGTAAAAAAACTCTATTCACTAAGTGAGTTTATGGTAAATTATTTGGGTGCCAAGTTTATGTTTATTATATCATCTTTGGTTCCACTAACCATCGTTTTGGTGAGAATATGAAAAGTTAATCATCGAGAGGCACAAGTTATCAATGACGGACGAGCTGGGATTCTTTCTCAATCTCCAATTAAACAAAGGAAGGAACACACTTTTGTGTCACAAACAAAATATACTAAAACCATGAACGGATTTAATAAGTTCAAATGCAAAAGATATATACGAACCCAAATGTCAACCTTGACTGAGAAAACAGTTGCAGATCAAACCTACCACCGTCGTCCCATAATATAAGACATTTCTAATCTAAGCCGTAAACACGTTTTATATTGAGGGAATTGGGTAGGTACATTTGCAATGAAAGCTCAAAGTACCTCGGTGGTGGTATCAGGTGATACCAAGGTTTAAGTGATACCATGATACGGGCTTCCGAGAGCCGTGGGATCTCAGATCTGATGGCTACCACAAGCTCTTGAACATTTTGCAAAAACGCCAACCGGAAGTCTTAAAATTACGTGCAGATACAATAGCTCTTTAGACGCCGTCAGATCTGGAATCCAACGGCCGAGAAGTCTATATCTCCTAAGTTTTGGGTATCACTTGAAATTTCCCCCCGCGGTGGCGCCGGTGGCGTGTGCTGCCGTTCCTGCGGTGCCACCTGCTGCGTGATACAGGGGCCAAGCCGGCCAGGTGGTGCTTCCCCAAGTCCTCCTCGGGTCGGTCCTGCCCGGTCTTCCTTCCTCCTACTTTTCCCCAGTACAAACAAAAGAAAAATGGAGTTAGCCATGGCCGCCGCCTACACCTCGTGCCTGGGCCTGCCCCCCGCCGCGCACCCGTACGACGACGCATCCGTGGCCTGCGCCCTCGGCCAGCTCTACTCCACCAAGGATCCGTTCGCCCTGCCGGTCAGCTGCCTCCTCCCGCCCCCCGAGCTGCCGCCGGCCTTCGGGTTGCCCGTCGGCGGCCTCGCCCCCGTCTGCTGCTGCGCCAAAGCCGCGGGGCCCCCCGCGTTCCCGCCCTTTCCGTGGGCGCACGCGCCCTCGCCGCCAGCGCCGCCGCGCTGCGCCATCACGGAGATCGACGAGTCCCGGGAGGTGGAGTCGGAGGACAACCTCTCCCCTCGCTCTGTCCTCACGCCCTGGAGGAGGCCGACGCCCGCCTCGCCGCTGTCTCCGCCTCCGCCTCTTGTGGTCGGGGGCAAACGGGCCTTCGACCCAAGCAGCGAGAAGACTTCTCTGATGATCTGCAATATCCCCAACGGATTCGTGTAAGCATGCTGCTCTTCTCTGCTGCCAGCCATTTCCCCCTCTTCTTTTTGCTGAAGTACTCTGTGAATTCTTGGTATGCGGCGCAGGAAGCGGAGGTTCATGGCGATTCTGGACCAGCATTGCGTCCAGGAGAACGATAATCCTGAATGGCGTGTCGTTGGCGGTGGCAAGTTCGTGAGGTCGGAGTATGACTTCCTCTACATCCCAATAGACTTCAGGTAG